TCTCTCTCTCATGTTAATGTGCTACTGATTATTGCATGTTTGTTCGTTAAGTCAGTTATTCATATAATAAAGCTTAAATTCAAATTATGTTACATAATAAATGCGATAATGCAATAAATAGTATACTGTAGTAATAGATACTAATTATCGATTCATCCTATAGCATTAGGATATTTTAGTAAATAGTAGTCATTGGCTGATCATGTAAATGCGTTAAATCACGTTAGCTTTATAAGATTAATTAGTCATTGAGATTACTGATAAGCATTATATTATAGGTGAAATAATCGTTTGATACCATAATATAGTTTTGGAATCGGAATATGTCAAATGCTGTGCATGGTTGATATGGATTTCTTTTTCTTTAATTTATTTGTTATCATCATTGATTACTATTCTATATGAGTTTTCATGTGCAGAAAGTAAAATGATAAGAAATTGCGATACGAGAGATCGTGAAATGAGAGTAATGTCTTGAGATGATAGTGATTATTATAGATGTTACGGTAGTGTGATGAATTTTATAGTCAAGGAGGTATAAATTGAACAGTGTTCCTTCTTAAGAGTTCTGTAAATTCAATGTAATCTGTTCGAAAGGTTTAGAATATTACAAGAAGCTTTGAAATCGTTGTTGTTCAAGAAACTCAGGATATTACAGGAATGCTTGGAATACTTTTTGTCAGTAACAGAAAAAAACTTGAATTATACTGACAAATTTAGACAAAAAAAATGCAAAAGATATTTTACTTATGCAGCAGAAATGAATACCATTCTCCTTGATTTTACCGGATGTTTTGTCCAGTCAGTTTCAGGTTTTTCTTTCTTTACTTTGATATTTGCTGACTTTTGAAGTACATTATAAGTATTTCCGATGGCTGCAGTGATACAGTCCAAAAATGAGAGATGCGATTCATTGTTACCACAATATAGTATGACACCTGTACCACTAGAATTTCGGAAATTTTTACACCAAATGTACGGTATAGAACCGCATCTATTGGCATATTTCAACGAACAAGAACCAACTAGGTTAAATCTGTCAACGTTTTTTTTTTCTTTCTCGAATTCACTCGCAAAATTTTCTCAGTGCATATTTAACTGAATCGAAGCGTTTCTCAAATTCACAATTTAAATTAGTTAGGTTTCGAATATTTTGGCGGTTACTGCTTCATGTAGTAAGGCTAGGTAGGATAGTATATTATGCATTCCGTAGAATAGAATATGTGTACTGACCATTGTAACCGGTCATTCATAAATCATTGACTATTAGCGAACTGTTACGTTTAGAGATATACCCTCGATTAATTTTATGACCCGTGAACGAGTAAAGGTCATAATCAGTCCTACATAATTTGTTGAAAATTCTTATTTATTGAAGTTGATTACTATTTCATTCACTGTTTCATTTCAGGATTTATGTAATCGTTAATGGGAAATTAAATTACATCGATATATCTCCAACTAATCCTTCAAAAACGATTCAAGTGAATAATTTTTATTCATAGTTATTTGTTGTTTAATTTTTCTGACTGATTTTTGGTTTCAGTTCGAGAATGCTATGAATGCGACTGATGAATGAGATTTAGGAAGTAATTATTAAAAATAATTTAATTAATTAAAAA